ATTAGTCTTTAAAATATATTTAGGAAGATTTTTATATTTAAAAATAAATCAAAGTTTTATTTCTCTTCAAATAATGATAATTAATATATAAATTTACTTAATTTCTAATAAAAATTTATTATTCAATGGCTAAATATCATTGTCAAATTTATAAATAATATTTTTCAACTTTTAGTAGACTGATACAACATGTCAATATAATATATTACAGAAGAAGAACTATTTCTCAATCAATAGATCATATCTTGCAAAGATCATAATTATCTTAGTCAATACAAAATTACAATATGATATAGATTTGTGAAATATGCTGATTATAAGATTATCTCTTCTAATAATATTATCTCTAAATATTGAAAAAGAAATGATATTATTTGTAGAAATTACTGAAAAAATGATATTATTTGTAAAAGTTACTAAAGAAATTTCAGAAGAAAGTTCTAAAAAATCACTACTAGTAAATATTAACAATAGCTTTAATCCTAAAGATCTTTAAGATACAACTTTAGATGATACTTTGAAGACTATCAAAGAAAAAATTGAACTGGAATACTTAGCATAATAATTCAATAATATTTATCATAACTTCATAAAATTGGTAATAAAAAATAATATTTCAAATAAGATTAGAAATAAAATAATTAAATTCTCTAATAAGTATATAATCTGAAAGAATTATTATTACTGAAATTCATAAAAAGTGAAAAAGATTATCTTAATCAAATAAAATCATCTTTGATTGACTTTAAAGAAAAAATTATTAGAACTTTCTTTAATATTACTTTTACTTTCTATTATTATTTAATTTTTTAAGCTATCAAAATACTTCTATAATAATTAGAAATAATAAATAATTTTAATTAATAGAGCATTCTAAAAAGAAGATAATAAGTTTTTAATTATTATAATATTATTAATAAAATTAATAAATTAGTAAATATTAAGTAATTATCAAAAAAATAAAGATTGAAACAAGAATTTTTTTATATATAATATCAAAAATATATTCTAGAAGTTCTTATAAGTATTTGAATACTAATTCTTTTGTAATAATTTTTAAATAATTTTGAGTTATAATTAAATTAAAATTATTAAATTATTATAAAAATATAAATGTTTATGAAACTTATATATCTGATCATATATATTATATTAATCTTAATCTCTTTAAATACTAATTGAACTTTATCTAAGATATTTTGAAGAAAGTTAGAGAAATAGAGTTATTAAATAATTTTAATAGCTATTTCTATCAAATTTTTTACTTTTCTAAGTTAAAATTATTCAATAAATTAAAGTGATAGTAATTATAGACTATTAATATATTATAAAAATTACTCTTTTCATATTAAATAATATCTTTAATATATAGAATGATATATAATTTGCAATAAATTCTGCATGCTTTTAGTAAAATATATATAATAAGTAGATAAGAGTTATTTACTGAAAATGATTTAAAAGAATTTGAGATAAATTAATGTAAAATTAATTAAATTTTAAAGAACAAGTAATAAATTTTGAAAATAAATATAAGTTCTCATTACCAATTGATTAACTGAATTTAAAAAATTCTTCTTATTATTATTTATTATAAAATATAGTTTTTCTAAATTATATATTTGATATTATTATGTAATTTCAATAATTTATAAATATAATATCTTGAATAGTTTTTTGATAGAAATATATGAAATATTTTACAAGTTGTATATGAAAATCTATACCAATTATCAAATAGAAAAAATATAGTATAACAGATAGTAAATACAGTAAGTTAAGTATATTAATTATAATCAATTTATTATAAATTCTAAACTATACTTATAAATAAAGCGCAAAAAAATTAGTTCTAATAATAAGTAAGACAATTTATTATAAAATTATGAAATTTAACAAGATATTATAAAAATTATCTTTGAATATTATCAAAGCAAAAGTAATTTCATTAAAAATTTGAAGAGTTTATTACATTTAAATTTCATTAAAGAATTATCATATATAATTATTATATTAGATGTATTTCTTAATGTATTATCACAAGAATCTAAAAATAAAGACTTTTATATAAAAGTTTATGATATGATTTATTTAGAAAGTGATTGAGAATATCTGGAAATTTTTATGATAAAAAGTGATTTAGTAATATTATAGTAATTTCAGTTAAAAATCAAAGCTATTATAGATTAAATAAAAATACTTAATATAGAAAGATAAATACAACTTGAAGAATAATAAAATATAATTTCAAATTTAATAATTTTAAATAAATTAATTTTTATATTTTCTTTTAAAAGGTACTGCTCTTTCTATAATATTTCAAAGATCAATAAAGAATCTATATAATCTTGCTATGATTTATTAATATAATATTATATCAAATGAGCTAGAAAAGTATTATTACACTTATCTATATTATATCAAAGAGTATAATATAATTCTAATAGAATTTATAGATTAAGAAATATATATTGTATTGAGATTTAATAAAAAAAATTTTTTTTTATTAAATAAATATATGTTTTAAAAAACTAATAGACAAAGAATTTTAAAGTTAAATTTATACTTGTAATAAATTTTAAAGAAAAAAATAAATAATAATATATATAATTAATTTATTTATTATTTATCTATTTAATTTATATTCAAAGAATTGTAATAATCTGTAATTATGCTAATTATTACAGTTTTTTTGGATTACACTTCTCTGAAATTTCTATTTTCAGGATTTTGTACAGATTTTGAATTGATATAACTAAAAAATTAGTAATAATTAACATATTTATTAATTACTACTGATCTAATATTTATCAAATTTACTAATATTAATTAAATAAGACAGAATTAAAATTTTATTTTGAAAAAATAATTTATTAATATTTATCTTAGATATAAATCTTTTTATATCAATTCATAATAAAGTTTAATAATAATTTTATTATTATAAATAAAATTAATTTTTTAAAATTTTATTTAAAAATTTATATATAATAATTAGAATTAATTTTTGAATAGTTTAAATAAAAACTTATTAGTAATTTAGTTATATAAATATTTAAACAATATTTTTAAAAGTTAATTTTTATAGTAATATATGTAAAATAATTATTTAAATAATATAAATAAATAAATAAATATATATATATATATAGTAGTGATCAAAAGTAATAATACAGGAGTTAAATTTATTAATTAAATATAATGAAAATTGAAATTTTCTTTCTATATTAAAATTTATAATTTTATTAAGAAATTATTTTTATTTTTATATTAAAATAAAGTTTATTAGTTATAATTTAATATATATTTTTTCAGATTTTTCAGATACTTTCTAAAAAAGTTATTTTAATTATAAAGTTAATACAAAAATATTTTCTAATTAAAAATGAAATTTTAATTAATAAAAATTTTTGTATTAACTTTATAATTAGAGTAACTCTTTCAGAAAAAATCTAAAAAATTTGAAAAAAATATATATTAAACTATATCTAATAAACTTTATTTTAATATAAAAATAAAAATTATTTCTTAATAAAATTATAAATTTTAATATAAAGAGAAATTTTTAATTTTTACTATATTTTATTAATTAATTTAGCTCCTGAGTCATTACTTTTGGCCATCACTATATATATATATATATATATATATTTTTAATATCTAAAAAATAAAATTACTTATAATTATATAATAAAAAATCTTAATATAATTTCTTATAATTCATATAAATTTTTTATAAGAAAAATAAAAATATATATTTATAAAAAATAGTTTAAATTATATTTTACTTTATCATATAATAATAAATGTTGAAATTTTATAAAAATTTAATAATATTTTTTATATAATTAATAAATAAATCTACTTAAAATTAATTATGTAATAACTCAATAAAATATTTTATAAATTTGCATTTATATTTAAAAATTTGCTTATAAAATTAATTATAAAAATTTTTAAAAAATTAATTGAAAATAATTTTAATAAAATTTTTTATTATAAAATTTTAAATAAATTTATTTTTTTAATAATATACTTATATTATTTAAATAATTATTATTATTTTTTTATATATAATTAGTTCTCTTTATAATTATGTTTTATAAATTATATTTTAAATTTCTCAGATATTAACTTATTATAATATTAATTAATTATAATTAAAAAATCATTTTATAATTACATTTTTCTTTAGTCATCCAATTTTGCTTTTCCAAATATAATAACTATAAAGAGATTTAATTATTTTTATATTAATATATTAAATATATGCTAGATTTATTTTTAAAGATTATGTTAAAAAGGATGAAATTCTTTTTTTAATAAGATAATGATCTAAAATTACTTTCTGAAAAAGCAAGATAGTTTCACAAAAATAAGATTCAATTAATTATTTCAGTTTTCTGACTTGTATTTTATTTGAAAACTTATAAATCAGTTAATAAACTTTAAAAAATGTTAGTGAATGTAATTTAATTGTTGTAATCATTAGGGTTGTTAATGTAATCGCTCCAGTTTATATTAAAAAATGTAACCTACTCCAGAGAGGATTATATGGTTTAGTATAAACTGGAATTCTTCATTAACAATTCTATTAATCATGGATAATTCTTCAATGGCGAGCTATTTGAATCTCGTCATTTTTTTTCCTGTGTACGATTTCAAATGTGGCCACTGTATATAATATCACTTTTTCATCAGATTAGGAAATTTGAAATCCGCCGATTATAAATTTTATCTGGGAAATGATCACTTGATTCACCACTGTCCCTAAGAACTGTCCGCATCCAATAACATCAAAGTTTATCAAATGATTTATGATACACATGCCCATTTTATTTGCAATATAAAAGTTTAGTTAATTAATAAATGTTTTTTCCTTGTACATGTGATTGAAAACACAATTTTAAAAATATTTTGTTCTCGAATGTTCCCGAAAACATTGAGAACATACTGGATAATCCAGGTATGGATTGTATAACAAATCTATGACAATTGGACTAAAAGAATGGCAAAACAAATGACGTCAAAATTCCCAATACAACAACGCCAACAATTCCTTCAACACGGATGCCGACACCACTACTTCCGCCGTTCGACGACGAAGTACCATTCGCAACTTCTTTTGACGAACTAGCAACATCAACATTCGAACAACTAGTCGCAGTCAAATTACTCTTCAAATTATCTACCACCGAAATCAAAGACGCATATTTCGAGTCTACAGGATTCTTGCCCACATAATCAATATAGATATTGGAGACTTTTTTGTAGTCATCGTTGCACAGAATCGATGCCGGAACTTTTACTGTGCTGTCGATATGGTTGGGATTGGAGTACGAGATATCAATTTTAGGCTGCGGTGGGAATTCGTAGGCTCGGATGTATAATGAGGAATCGTTTTTTGAAAAGTTTTTATTGATATAGTCGAATTCTAGATTGCCGATTTGTTTCCATGCGTATCCTGAACAAAGAATTTAAAAGAATAATTCAAACAAGGTGAAAATAATCTGTTAATTCAGATTATTATACACACCTCCCACTGAACTTTGCATACACAGATTCGCATAATGAGGCGACGCGAAATAATAATCAAGAAAATACTGTATCACCAAATTATTATTAGAACTCAATTCTGTCGCACAGTCGTTCAATATTTGTTTATAACCTTTAATTGAAGTCGAACTATCACAAGGATTCGACGACGAACAAAACTTTTTAATTTCGCCATTGAGAAAAGCGTAATTAGAGTCCGCGGTGGTTTTGAATCCGAATTGGTCATCAGTGAATTTGCTGTTTGATGATGCTTCGTCTTGCTTTATTTGCGTGTACAGTCTGGCGTAGTGTTGACAGGTTAATGGTGATCTTGTGTCGTTTTGCAGAGAGTTTACGGTAAGTGAACTTAATGTGCTTAAACATTGTGTGCATTCGTTTCCGCCATTTCCACCACTTCCGCTATAACCATTTCCGCCATTTCCACCGTTTCCGCCATCGCCGCCGTAACCATTCCCACCATTTCCACCGTTTCCGCCATCGCCTCCGTAACCATTTCCACCATTTCCGCCATTTCCACCATTTCCACCATTTCCAGCAACAATTCCATATCTGTTAAATAATTTCGAACAATCTGCTGACGTTGATGAAATGATATAAACTGTTATTAATACTATACAAGTTAGCAGAGAAATGCAACGATTATTTTTTGGTCCCATTATTTTCGAAGAACGACACAAGGTTTAAATGTCACAAATTTTTTAAAGAAAAATCCATTGTAAAGTGTTTTAAATAATTTTCCGTATACATGTACATGTATGAATAACGATATGGTATTTTTGATCGTAAATGAATAGAACACGTACAATGAAAACTGCCAAATCCTACATCTACATAGCGATAGTACTAAAAATAAATTCTTGTATAAACATGACAATCAGTGTAAAAATTTGTTATTAACTATGGAAATTTCTTTATTTGGGGTTTTTGTACATGTATTATCATTATTGTTATCGTTATCAATAAATGTGTGGTTTTTTATTTAATCTATAAATGCCAAGCAAAACATGGAGATTGTATATAAAGCCATTCCATAACTATAAATATCTGCTGCGTTAGTGTATGTCTTTCCATCTAACCTCGCTGTACTTACATAAGGAATACTCTTCTTTAACCGGATGAATTTTTTTATTTTTTTGCTTTACATGACGAATATGACGAATACTGTGCGCATCGTGTTGCTGGTTGCCGTTTGAAAGCTAGTATTATGGTGGCAAGAAGTAAAAGCAAGAATGAAAACTGGGAAAAGCTAGTAAATAGACTAAAAAAGGAATTGCTAGAAGAAGAGTGAAAAAAAGTATAGCATTTATAATAAATTTAGTTTGCTTTTTTTGTTGAACTTGCAATTTGATTGGTTGATTTCAATTACGTAGTTATGCGAAAATTTATTATTGTTAATTCTATACTTTTTTCGTTTTTTTTGAGTCTCTTCTTCCCAATCATTCTAGTCAACCTCAGGTAACAACTGGAAAGATTGCTGTCAACAACTTTACAATAATACATACGAAATTAAAAACAACAATGTTAAATAAAAGCAAAATACATTCATTAGAAAATAACCATGATGCATGTCCATAACCGTGACTTAAACCGCGGTTTCTTACAAGTCTTTAACATCACTAATCACAAGCTAAAGATATCAATACTAAAATATAAAATTTAAAGTTCTGCAAATTAAGTGATTGGATATTAGAATAATGATAGGTTATTTCAAAATCTTACATATCCTGTATTTACTGTATGTGCGTCAAAGGAATCATTGTTTTTCTACATCTGGAATTTTTATATTTATGTTTCTTGTATGAATTTGATCAAGATAAAATACTATTTTAAAATATATTCATTTAATGATGACATCATTATATAAGTTATTGCCAAAATTATATTTGATAAAGCACCCACATAATGTTTCTAATTTTATATATCGAGTGAGCGATGCGCAAAGATATCTGCCATATGAAAAGAGGATTCTGCCGTCTGAAATGTGTTAGGACGAATTTTCAGAATATTTTCTCGTTATCTCAATTTCTGAAAGACGTGTTTACTTGTAAGCTAATATAGCCACAATATTGTTCTGCTTGATACGATGCTTATAATTCCCATCTCGGATTACTCCAATCCCAATTCCCGTTTCCATTTCCGTTCCCGTTTCCATTTCCGTTTCCATTTCCATTTCCATTTCCGTTTCCATTTCCGTTTCCACTACCCATATTTCCATTACCATTGAAATTGCCATTGCCACTTCCCGTATTTCCGTTGCCGTTGAAATTACCATTTCCACTTCCTGTATTTCTATTACCGTTGAAATTACCATTTCCAGCACCACCACTATTCCCATTAAAATTGCCATTATCTGAACCCCATCCACGCCCATTAAAGTTGCCATTCCACCACCCACCGCCATATCCATTCCACATTCCGTTTCTGTGTTGTGAGTCTTCTGCATTTCCTTGTCCGGATCGTCTATCTTCACGATCGTATTCGCTATCAACACCACCAAATGAAAACGGAAAATTGAAGTTTGGTCCGTTACCGTAACCGTTTCCATGACCACTGCCATAATTAAAGTTTCCGTTGAAGTTTCCGCGACCACCACTTGTTGGTGTTGCGGTATTTGATTGCGTTGTGGGAGATGCGCTGGAAGCTTGTGTATTTGTCATCTTTATCCTTGTTTTAAAAAATATAATAACAATGTTATAACCAAACGAATGATTCAGAAATTTAATCTCAAGAATAAATACTGATATGTTCTATTAAATAGACAAAAACAAAAATCAGCCGACTTCCACAAATGGAGATCTTTATCAATAAAACACAGTTACGTGGCTGCAGTATGACAGTGATTACGAATGGGCAAATAGCAAAGCCACACAACATTTTGTAAACACAAGTACGTAATACTTTATTATTATTATTACATGTATACGTAATTTAATATTTACATGTTCATGTACTTTCTTTTTTCTATTTACATGCCATCATTGTACGTAATTTGACAATAGATTGTCATATCGATAAGTGATGTTCTAAATGAAAAAAAATGGATTTTGCTGTTGAAGTTTTGCATTTCTTAAAAATAAATTCATCATTGACCAATATTCATCAACGCGGCGCCCAACTAATACTTGAAAGGATCCGAATCTTTAGTTAGGATATTCAGAATTCTCTAAAAATAATCATATTCTAAATAAATAATTAATATATTTTTTATATTGTAATATAAATCATTTTTCGAAAGTCCATCGAAATAAAAAGTGAGGAGGATGTTGCATGAACACAACGGAAATGCTTATTTTCATGGAAAAAAATTACCACAAGGAAGGTTAAAAGAGCATGCTGATAGATTGATAAAATAAAAATATATATATATAAAGAATTATAGAAGTTACATAAATTTGCTATATAATTCACTGTTACATAATCAGCAAACTAAAAACTTTGCAAAAACTATTTTTTGAATAAAATTTTTATTACCAAATACTGCGTGCGGACGTATATAAACCTTATAACAATTTCTAAATTGCTAACAAACAAGTCACGTGTAAATATATAACTCCTAAATTTTTTTGAGAGAAAAAGTTCGAGACAAAGCTTTTTATTTTGATAAATTACAGCTGTTTTTCATTTAAAAATTGACCGAATAAATATTTGCCGATTCGATAAATTAGTGATTCGATATACTGTACATGTATATGTATAATTACATGTTAATGTATATATCACTATCGCTATTTTGTCTCTTGTTAAATGGCACTTTCAAATTATATTCGTTGGAAAATTGTTATAAAAAATTTGGAAGGCTTAGCAGTTCGGGTAATTGCCAGACATCTAGGTCTTCTGTGAGTCGAATTCTTAAACAATTTCAAACCTAACTTGAGTTTTTTTTTTAATCCAATTAACGTTATTCTTGATCATATCGAACTTTTTTTTATTAGCGCCTACTCGTGTAATATATTTATTATGAAATTCGGAACCTTTTTTATGTTTTTTGGTAAGATCTGTTGGTTGGCAAGAACAATCTTTTCCATAAATTTCGCACAAATTAAACACACCAAACATGCATTCAAGCGAAAACTTAATGTTGAATGTGTTGAGATTGTAGAGCTGTTCAAAATACTATCGTATGTATTAAAAAAATATATTTATCATTTTATATTACTAACCATGCCCCAAATCAAAAGTTTATCAAATCGGTAAAGATTTATTTGGTCAATTTTTATCAGCTGTCCCAGTTAGAATGAAAACGGCTGTAATAAACAAAAATTTTTGCTATTAAACTGGAAATTCATTTTACGACATATCGCGTAAAATCCATCTATTGTCTTTCAACTCCTTGATTTTGTGAAAGAATTACAGGTTATTTTTCTTTTTATATTTTCCATATGATATTCCACTTGGAAAGCAATCATAGTATAAGATTATATATAGCTTCACCTCGAACAATTTGATCGTGATTATTAAACATTAAATATTTTTCATGGCTTAAGAATTGGCTTGATATTGACCAAATTTTGTGAAATCAGATAAAGTATATGTATTTGATAGCATATAATTTGTTTATATCGTCTATTATTTCATGTACTATGCGAAAAAAAGATAATCAACTTCCCATTGATGAATCAAAATGACAAACAAAACCTACAATTATTAAGAATCTAGTCGTTTCTATAATCTGTCTGAGATTCCGGAATCCTAAAAGAATTGAGCGTTTTCACAAATGGGTCTGGTACGAATCATAAGCCCATACATGTATATCCCAAAATGCTAAAATTATCACGGGATTTTGTTCATTCGGGATTTCGATCTATCGAGATGTCGTTCATTCGGGATTTCGACCGTTACTGCTCGTGCATGCATCACGGTATGTTTGATAAAATCTTAATCTGGAAGAAAAATAAATATTCACTTACCTATTTGATATGAAATATGATATTAAGAAAAAATCTTGATACCAAGAAACCTGGACTGTGTCACTACTGGAACGGTCGAGTCGAAGACTTGTCAAAAAGGTTTGTAGTTGCCTACGGATACAAGCTGTAGGTTTGATCGAGTTCATCATATCAATGGCACAAGCTCATGATGAAAATCCAACGGTGAATGAGAACTATCTCGGGACATTCTCACGGTTTCCATCTGCAGACGAAAGCGATCTGCTAGATAAAATATTTACACCTAAAGCAAATTAAATTATTAATTTTATTTAAATCAGATGATACAGGTGAGAACTTGAAAAGCAAAAACGCAAGAATAAACTGCAACCAACACGACGAGCCAAGCGAACGAAAAAGGCAGAAACAGAGCGATCCCTGAAAATACGAATGTATCCAAATTCTTCTCAGAAGAGATTGTTTTGTTAGTGTCATTACGAGGTAGCTCAATCACGCCATCTCGAGCACTATATAGACGAGAGATGAGAAAAAGAAAGGATAACAAGATGGGGCTTGGCAAAGTATCCAAAGTGAAGACAAAAAAGAGGCAGGTCATGTGATTCCGAACTGTTTCCGATCCGACAGCAATTATCCGATATCCCCTTAACCAATACAAAAACTAAAAATAAACAAACAAAATACTTGTAACTTGAAATATTACCGTAAAACTGCGCACCCTTTAAAAATAGCATAGTTGGTTTCAAATAACGCCCATGAGAGCCCCGAAATAACGCGCACCTTACCAGATTTAATTAGAGCGTATTTTTAGTAAAATGCTGACTTCCTAACATCCCCAAAATCCCAAACGTCCAACCGCCTGACATAAACATTGTAATAAATAAGGATTACCATTATCGTAACGATTGTAAAGAATGAAATTTGTACTAGCCTTATTCATATATACGCTTAGTGCTATTTATTTTTTAGAAAATATCGTGATGTTGGATTTTGGGAATATCGGATTTGAGCGTTCGGGATTCGATCATTATGACTTTATGAAACGTTCGGGATTTCGTACCAGACCCATAAAAATGAGAGAAATTCAGATTGACATTCTATTATATGCCATCATGGGCGTTATTTTGAAAATCAAGTCTAGAAAATCGACCCTTTATTTCGAAATAACGCACATGTGCGTACTCGAAATAATGCGCAGATGCTCGTTACTACGGCATGTGTTATCTTGCGAAATTTTATATTCGTTAATTATATAACCCTAACTCTAACCCTAACTAAAATGCTAAGAGAATAAAGAGGATATCGATGAATCAGTGTCAGGACAAAGACAGTTTGGAATCATAAAGTCTCGCTTTTTTATCTTCACTTTGTTACTAGGCTTGGCAAAACCCCACACTCAATCATGAAAGTTTGAAGATCCAATCACGGTTAACCGAATGACACGGGAGAAATCACAATGCACTTAAAATTTATGTATGAGAAAAACTAGGACACTGGATAATTATATAGCATATCCACGAAACCAAACGTTGAGTTGCAGCCATTGATCCTTGTGTCCGGACTTTTCTCACATATTCATCCACAGATGGCTATGGCAAAATCGATGACAAAGATATTAACCATATTGTGTGTCTCTACCCTTTCTTCAAACACGCAACGTGCCCAAGTTCGCTTAAGCAAACACATTAAAAATCTGGTGAACAAAGTACATAAAAAGTTTGCGTTGTGGTTGGCTCATATTTACGACGTCGACAAGGATGACTTAGTAATAAGAAAGTTCAAAAGATGTTAGGCATATGATAGAGTTTAGGTGTGATGAGTGTAGGCTTCAGATTAATAAGGACTTAAATGGTGCTCATGGATTTCCTCCAGTCATTGATTGAGAAGTTCCTAATTAATTAGTAAATAAAATTTACGAAATTTTGTAAAATGTTAATTATCATCTAGTATATTCACCCTTTGCAATTACATCTTGAATGCATTCTTCTATACTTTCAATTAGCTTCATTATCTATTTCAATCCGGATTGTCCCAAAATTGATGAGTCAAACATCAGTCTATTTTGTTCCAAAGGTGTAGAATGACAATATCTTGTCATACCTCCTGATTTTTCGTCATTTAAATTATCAAGAGCTACAGTCACACCCTCTCTATAAGAACACTTCAGTATATTAAAATTTCTCTCTTTATACGAACATAATTAGTAAATTTTTATAAGAACCAAAAGAGCGGTGCAACTGTACATGTAATATGTCCCATAAACGCGTACAATATTACCAACACACCAAGCCTTTATAATTTTATTGTTGTTCTTTTGGTTCATTATCACGTTCTCTGTAATATTCACGTCAGACAAAATGATATTAATAATTATACTTTTTATGAGTTTTAATTGTGCCGCTATGCTAAGTGCCCATAAAAGCATTTCCTTTTCTTTAATTTCGAGTCATCAGTTTAAACAACTGATGCTGAAATTTATATTAACCTTAATGATTTTTAGAGTTAGAGCATATGAATTTCAACATCAACTTCAGCCACAACAATAAATATCGATATTGAATAAAACACTAAAAAAACACTTTTTATTTTGTGTTGTTGAAGAGTTCTTCACATCAATACATCTCTATAGAAATAAAAATGACATCCGGAATCAGCATCATCTTTCCAACGGGAACTTTTTCCTACGCACTGAATAATAACGATACTTTGTATGATAACAATAAAATTGGTGCAGCTGAATGTTGGTGGTGACAAGGTACTTGAAATGGTAGGTAATATTGGCTTTATCTTATAATTTGAATTCAATAAGAAAATATTTTGGTTTTAGTACGAGCCACTTTGGCTGCTTATCCGGATACCCTTCTGGGTGAAATGATTAAAATCCACCTATAAGCAAACTGAATATAAAAACCGAGAATTAGAAGTGACCCAGCAATTTTTAGAATTATACCAAGCCTGGAAAAACTTTGTTTATCTGGTTTATGGGTTGGTCGAGATGAAGAAGATTATGATATATATATAAAAATAGATTGAAACGTATTCAAGACTTACAAAAATACTATCAAGAAGCCATTATGATGGACGAAGAATCTTTTTTTGATCGAGATGGAGTAGATTTTTAAATTAACATGTTTCCACGTAATTACGTTTCATGATTCTAATGGTCATATAAAATATAAAAGGCATTTAAATATATTTTGTAATTATACCGCGAGGGCAAAATCACCTGGTGTCATGAACAAACCACAAATGCAACTTCTCAAAGAGTTAGAATATTCTCGCATTCCCATACCCGAACTCTATTCGCAAATCGATCCCACCGAACAATGGGCGGTCTCCACAATTTCGCGTTGACGTTAAATACGTGGTCGAGACGATGATGGCCAATTACGAGGACACCGTCACACTCATGTTCCATAAAAGCAACGAGACGGCGGTGGTGACTGGGAAAATGGCGCAAAACCTTATGGATAAACTTGTATGTAATTTCTCGGGGGCCGGGTATAGAATTCTAGAAGAGTTTGGAGATGGTAGTTTATGTTATAATTATAAATTTTGAATATTTTAAGTCATCGTATCTAATTATATTTTTTTCTGACCGGTCACAAAGATATTTGTCATCACCTTCTTACACACTGTCTCTCACTTTCCCATTTGTGGTTCAACGTGAATCTATATTAAAGAAGGCTGGATCAAATATTACGGTAAGCTGTTTATTCTCTACCTTGTGAATTGACTGATCTGTCATGTGATTTCTTTTACAGTGAGCGTGTATCAATATACATGTATTTCGCATAAATTTAATAACCAAACTACTATGAAAGATTGCGTTAAATATATTTTCGTATTACTTGCATAGTGCAAACACACAATTAATCAAAACTTAACGAATTTATTTGATTCTACAAATGTAAGTCTACTAGCGATACTATATGTTTGAATTTAGTAACTTGAAAGTCTAGTTTCGTTAATATGACAAACGAGATTTTCATATTAACGGGTGTCATATTAACAAAGGTTGACTGTAGGTTTGAGTAGAAATAAAATGATAGCATAAATCAGCATTTCAAAATGCTCCTTTTTTTACTACATGAATAGTTTTTTTTTACCATTACTAATTAACCTTGCCCGTTGAATGTAAGAGAACCGGGATTTGCGGCAACTCTCAACAAACTTCAATATACAATGAGATGGATCTTCCAAATGACGACGCACATCAGTAAAGCGATAACGATTATCATTTTTTACCACACAACACAACGCACACTTGAGTATTCGTTGTTCAAGTCTACCGAGAATTACCGCTCGTGCAACATGGCTCAATTTGTTGGATATTCGCGATAATATTTGGCTTCGGAAGATATTCTAAAGAGGGATCTTTTAGTAGAATTGGTGAATTATTGTGTGACCGCCATAATTGATTGATCCGACGTTCAATTTCACTCTGAGTTCGATAGAAAAAATGACATCCGTATAAGTTTCCTTCATGGACTTTTTAATAGCATCATTGATGGCTCATTAAAATTGCTCATCGCGCGACAGTACGCAGGAGACCGTCGAAGGTACGTAGAATGATAAACTTTCTTGTTGTTCTAGCCATAGACTTCTTCGGGTGACATGCGAGATAACTGTACTCTGCTCGTATCCATTGGGATTTCCAGTAATATCTTACGACTCGGATCTCGATGTATGGCTGTAAAAGTCCAGTCAGTAAATGATTACTATGAATAATCATCGCTAAAGAAACAGCTTTATGAAAAAATGATCAATTGGATCATTTAAAGTGTGCTTTTAATATTAGTTTTCAGACATCTATCGCAACAACATAACGACCAAATTGATAATCCGACCGCAATTTTTACGCAATCGTGCTAGCTGCAGATATGATTTCTCATCCATTACTTCAGGTAGTGGCTGATAAAGCGATGGACAATAGTGTAATCGTGATGGTGAGCATAAGTATTCTCGATACAGTTTACATACGAACGTCAGATTTAAGGGCGATAAGTCACAAACGATAGTAATAAAAATTTCAAAAGGTATGTGATTTGCAACAATATATGAGAAGGACGTAGTGGGACGAGGCAAAAGATAGGGAAGGTGATGGAAATGACGTTTGGTGACGTTGTGTATGCGTGATAATTAGCATGTTTTCTTATTGCGGGCAGAAAATGAAAAACAGATCCTAATGTTAATAGTAGTAAACGTGATTGAAGCGGAAATTTAGTTTTTTTTAGGTTGAATGTTGAGCTGAGAATAGAGTTTAAGTACCAAAAAAGCTTTAATGTATCGAATATAAGAACAAACAAACAAAAAGTAATGAAATGAAAAAAAGGATGGTGAAAGCGAGAAAGGAACAAAAGCTTCTTAGAACACCGAATCGAAAATAGAATCAATTAAAACATTTTTATTAGTAAATTCTTGCATGTTTTCTGAAAAAACCTTTTGGAGACAAAGATGAAAGACAAGAAGACAAGCCAGCGTTATTGAATATATACAGTATCTGGAAATGTTTTTTAATCATTACGAAAAAGGCAAAGAGTGTCAGGTGTATTTCTATTTGCTGTTTAATTTTTGATTTCACATGTAATCAAAAGTCGGGAATATACGTACGTACTGTAAAATTACACTATAGTTAATATCTAAAGAAGAGGCTACTAATAAAATAAAGAAACGACTGAATGAAGATTATGAAGTATAACATTTTCAATAGATAGGCGTATAACTTTAGTTAGACAAACAGAGCCTCAGTTTTTAAAAGGTAACAATGATTTCGGAGATTCTTTTTTGTCTTTTTATTTTATGCATATTTGTTTGACAATATTTATCCTTTCTTCGATTGTCCTTCTCAAGATTATGACATTGTTCGTAATGAGGTATAACGATAAGTAGAAGTAGAAATTGATGAAAGAATAAGAAATTGAATCAAAGTACATGTAATTAACAAAATATCACGCAAGTGTATACAATGATGACGCATATATATTTGCTTAATTAAAAAATAAAGTAGCTTCTTCAAATCATGCATCGCACAAAATAACTCATTGTGACGAAATCGTAATAAACAGAAAATGCACTGGCTGAAATTTCCTTATATTATTTATGCACTTATATTTGGCTAGTACGTAATGGAGAGCTTGTTCATTTAAATATTTTGGAACATCATTGATGAAAAAAAGTGACATTACGAGAAAACTGATGCATAAATCTGTCTTGGGCCGTTAATTAAAAATGTTGGAAAGGCAACAACTTTATGTATGACCTCCTTATCTTTCTCGCCCAGATCTCGTAATTAAAAGAAGTAAAAAAGTAAAACTATCATTTTTTTCCGTTTAATTTGATTTTGTTCACAGATATCGATTTGGTTGCAAAACAGAGGTTAATTCTGGTTTTACGATCTAGACGGAATATTTTGAATTCTATATAGGATTGGTTTGAGATAACGCACCAAGTTTCTATTAGTTTATACAGATTAAACACGAGCCTAGTACATGTACATTTATATTTCCATATTTGATGTTAAATATAAGTTATCGTTATTAATTACTAAAAGAAATGTTAATAATAATAAGAGAATTTTAAAGATCGTGTCGTGTGTGCATAGACAACCAATTAAAAATCAGTTTCGTCGTTACAATACAAGTACATGTACATGTATATCCATGGAGTTATCTTTTAAATTACTCTCCGCTCTTTAATACCTTAAAAGAAATCTAAAAGAAATTCATTACACAAATGTAAATTTTAACAAAGCAATAAGCTGTTATAATGTCACACTACATTCGTAAAAATAAATACATCTGTATGCTAAGATAACTAATAACAGAAGGCAGCAACAGCAAGTTATCAAAAAATTTAACAAGACAGCTCGTGCATTTCAAAAGACAGGGTATATAACATTGTGGTCTTGGATGAATGAAGACATGCATATTACAAAGTTTCGTAGCATATATGCACGTTATTATACATGTAGTAAACTTTTCTTATGGTCAAATTTTGAATTCGTCTTTAATATGAGATCGAAAAAGTTATAGGTCAATCAATCTTGGTAACTGGACCAATTGGACTTCAAAAAACTCTGCTATTAGACCACTGGTCTTGTAAGGTTTCAATAGATTCAGCTTGACAGTCAAAATGATTGGGCTGACAGCCGGCCCTGGACTAAAGTCAAAAGTTATAAAAAATTATGCAGTTTTTATCGTTACTGTAAAAATTGTTTTAATAAAATAATTGTTAATAATTTCTTCCCTAATTTAATTATATTCAAATTTCATTTATTGTATAAATTTTAATAATGAAAAATATGTAAAAACATTACGTATATTGACGAGTTCTAAAATATTATACGATATAATTTCTGATATTTAAATATTGGTTCTTTGCTCATTCTTAATTAGTATATCGATATCATACGTAAAACACAAATCGTAGCTCCGATATCGATATCAAAAAATTTGTGGCGTCAGTTACCGCGGTGAATCATGATGTTAATATTACTTCAATTTTGATTTATTGGGAAAAGCTGTGGTAAATCTATAATTATTTTGTCTGTATAGAAATGCATTTTTCATGTTGTATTATTAGTTATTCGACAAAGACAAAGTAACTAACGTTAACGGACATTGTGTGTTACAGCTTGTTTCCGCATTTATTTATTGAAAAGCTTCCCGTTTAAATAGCTCGGCTTTGATTCCTTTTCATTCTATATTTAATATCTAATCATTTTATTGCAGGTAATTTATCGTTGATGAATTTTTAGAAATTTAATGATTTTTTTGCTCTTACGCTTTTCGTTAAGGCGATTACCGTTATTTATCACTCTTTTATTAAGCTGAAGAATTAACAAATACAAATTTGCAATTTTTTTAGTAAATGTCAAAATAATGCCCCAAGTTAAAGTATCTAAAGCTAATACATTCCGCGTAAAAACAAAGGGTCAATTAAAAGGTATCTGAGTAATTATAATAATAATATAATATAATATTATAATAATAAATAATAATAATAATAATAACAATAATAATAATAATAATAATAATAATAATAATAATAATAATAATAATAATAATAA